GGAACACACTGGTGAGGAGCTGTTTAAAGGGGCTTCTCCTGGCAGTGTGCTGACAGCTTCACTGATCAATGTGAGCTATCAACACAAGCTGCGTTTAGCCTCTCCCCCTTCCCTCCCCTTCCCCACCATTCCTGCTCTGTACCTACCTCCACATGTGTCAGCCTCCTGATGTGCGGCTGGGCAGAGTCCGGGATAGGAACAAGCGCACAAAGCACACAAGCTTATTCCATGTCGAAAGATTGTGTGTGTGTCTCCCCTGCTCCAGCCTGAGGAAAGAGGCTTGAGCTGCACTGACTGCGATCACCTGCAGAGCTCTCCACACTGCCAGTGAGGTCATCGGCAGGCGGCCAGGCATGTGATCCAAACCACGCAGGGATATTGGGAGCAAGGGTTCCCCTCCTCCCCTCCTCCCCCCAGACTCTGAACAGCAACACTCAGAGATCAGACTGTGATAAGACAAAGCTCTTCATTGTAAATCTCGGGGCAACAGCCGAGCAATGATACCAGCGGAGGGTATTGAAAACAGGCCCCAGATGAGTACAGTGAATAATGTGCAGTAAACTCACATAAGGCATATTCGTCAGGACCATGATCTTTAATATGACTTACGTGAAGTCTGAGTTGCAGCCAAGCTGTATAGTTGTATAAAATCCAATTTAATCAATAATCTACACTGCGTGTGGGTAAGTCACTGCAGCCGGTAAGTGCACAGGGACGGGTCAACATTACATTTCCCGCGATTCAATGTGTGTTTACCTGCCGCCACGTGTGACTTACAGCGCTGGAATCACCCTGAATAATAGTAATCCTTGCATTTGATATAGCGCCTTATCACCTCTTCGAGACGTCTTAAAGCGCTTCACAGAATATACTGAAAAGTGAATTGACTGTATATTTTGTGAGCGAAACGTGGAAGCAAATTGTGCACAGCAGCGTTCCCACAAACAGTCGTGGATTGAGTGACCAAATTATTATTTTTTTTTTAAAATAAATTTTTGTTTTTTGAAGGGATTATTATAACCGGAAACGCAATCCGCCAATCGACTAACAACCGGGTTCCTACTTACTGCTGGGTAAACAGAGGCGTGTGGAGTAAGGAAACTTGCCCAACGTTTCGGCCTACCAGGAATCAAACCCAAATTCTCTCATTTGCGAGGGGAGCGCTCTAACCACTAACCTACAGAACTACACGTGGGAAATGAAGTTCTGCGCATGTGTCAAAGGATTAAGACTATGTTTCCTGTAATTCAATTCAACCGGCTGATAAGTGCTAACTAACAAGAGCACATGCAGCGGTGGCTCAGGACGCCATTAAATGCAGCCAATAAGTATGTGAGTAATGAGGCTACGAGTTAGGAGATTAATACGACTGATGCAAAGAAATCTAAGTGGTTTTGATAGGAAACTGAATGGGAATGTGAGGCTTACGCGATTATACAATTGATAAAGATAAGACTTATGTGAGTATTACTGTACTAATATATTGCTTTTCCCTTCAATGAACAGAACTCCCTCTGACAGTATCTTACACAATATGAACTAGTGCATCCCATACAATATCCTCCAGAATTGCAGCTCACTTGATATATGCGCACACACAACAAACCAAATACTAATTTGTATAACACATAACAGTGATTCGGACCTGAGCTGTGGGTCGGGATGCACTTTAAAGGTAACTATTGCCTGTTGTTTTTCATGCTTCCAGTTTTCTGTTAAATCCTTCACGCACAGCATCCTCACATCTGCCTGGGTTTAACAGTAATCCTTATAATAATAATCCTTGCATTTGATATAGCGCCTTATCACGTCATTGATATGTCTCAAAGTGCTTCACAGAATATGCTGTAAAGTGAATTGACTATATTTTGGTGAAATGCAACAGCCAATTGCACACAGCAGTGCCTCACAAACAGTTGTGGATTGAGTGACCACATTATTTTTTTAAAAAAGGAATTATTACCCCAGAAAGCGATCCATCACTTGATAAGCAACCAGTTTCCTACTTGCTGCTAGGTAAATAGAGATGTCTGGTGTATGGAATCTTGTCTAAGGTTTTGCCCTGCCTGGGAATCGAACCCGGGTCCTCTCACTTGCGAGGTGAGCGCACTAACCACTAAACTATAGGACTCCACACATTCACCAGAGCTCGTTGTCACATTGAAACGTCTCAAGGTTCTTCACTGTAAAGTGCTTCCCTTTGAAGCGCAGTGACTGTTTCAGAGACAACTGCAGCTGCTAACCTACCCCAGCAAAGTCCCACCCAGCGCTGAGATGAATGACCATCAATTTCTACAGCTCCCAAATGGTAACCTATCTCTGTTGTCTTCCCAGCACTTAGATTCCCTTTCCTGTCTGGTGCTGGAAATCGCAAAGGTCACTGCGGCTGCTCTGGGGTGAGGCATATTGTTGGGACATAGTAGAGCTCCGCTTTGCCCAGATGTGTGCCACACGTGCCAGTTTAGCCAAGCTGGTTATAGTCTTGTTTCTGGGTCAGAAGAATGTAGGTTAAGCCCCATGTTGGCACCTGAACGTGTAGTAAAGGGAATGTTACATTCTTGGATGTGCACCTGTTCAGTGAATTCCCTTCCCTTTTCAAATACAGTAGTGCCAAGATCCCACAACACTATTTGAAAAAGGGAATTTACTTGTGTGACCTGACCAACAATCTTCCAGTTCAATTCATCGCGTGGCTGTAATATGGGGCCTTTGCCTACAAAAACAGTAATTACTTTGAGAGGTTTGGATATGATAAGTTGCTAGGAATCCTGTAGCATATTAGTTAGTGCGCTTGCCTCGCAAGTAGGAGAACCTGGGTTTGATTCTCAGGAGGGGCAAAACCTTAGGCAAGTTTCCTTACTCCACATGCCTCCGTTTAACTAGAATATGTAGGAATCTGATTGTTAGTTGAATGTCAGATTGCTTTTTGGGGGCAATGGTGTGTGTGTCAGCCTAGTGCAGTGGTAACACTCTCGCCTCGGAGTCAGAAGGTTGTGAGTTCAAACTGCACATTGGGTCTGGGAATCACATCATCTAAGCTGACCCACAGCGCTGTTGGGTTATTGGAGGTGCCGTCCTTCAGATGAGCCATTAAACCGAGGTCCATCTGCCTGTTCAGATGGACGTTAAAGATCCCGCGGTGCTATTTGAAAAGAGAACGGAGTTTCTCTCTCCCAGTGTCCTGGCCAACAATGCCCCAAATAAACGTGGTCGCTCACTCCATGGCTGTTTGTGGGACATTGCTGTGCGCAACTGGCTGCCGCATTCGCCCACAATGTTCATAGTTACTACACCTTACAGTATATCCTGTGAAGTGCTTTGAGATGTCACAACAACATGGGAAGGCGCTATATTACCTCCCCCCCACCAGAGGAGCACTAACATGTCTTTTGACTCATGAACGTGCTTATTAAGCGAGAACCCAAATATTAATTTCCACTCACACCAGTCGCTCATTAACAGGTACAGCCACAGACCAGTCATTGACCTCGTCCTTACTTCAACATTCATTCCCTTAGTTAGCTATAAACCGCCTGACTCCTCATGAACTTGTGTAGCAGACTGTTATTAACGTTTCAGTGTGATGTACTGATAACACCATGTTAATCCGCTCAAAAGGAATGGACCAAATCGACACAACGAGAGATAATAATAATAATCCTGGCTTCTGATGTAGCGTCTTCCACGACTGGAGGATGTCTCAAAAGGATTCACTGTTAGCTGTAGCGACTGTGCATTTTGTCAGCAAACCTGACAGCCAATTTATACATGGTAATTTTCCATAAACACCCATTGACGTGAATGACTCATTTTACTGAATGAATTGTTGGCCAACACACATTGTCGCCATGGAATCGTTAACATTCACCTGAACAGGCAGACAGGACCTCGGTTAATATGCTCGCCACCCCACGCCCCAGGACTGTACTGGAATGTCAACTCACAGACTGTGAGCTCAAAGTCTCAACGAGACCTATTAAAACTTCACCAACCTGTCCGCTCCCTCCACTCTGCAGACACTGGCCTACTCCACATCCCTCCATCCTGCCTGATCCTATCAGCAATCAGGCCTTCAGCCTTTCTGTCCCCACCCTCTGGAAGTCCAATGCGGAGCCCCTCCGCCTCGCCCACTCCCTCGTCTCCTTCAAGGCCTGTCTCAACACATTTCTTTTCGACCTTCGATCATTACCCCACTTGCCCTCCACAGGTCTCTGATCCCAACCCACAGCTCGGGTGCAAATCCCTCATTGTCCAGTGTGGTGGGATGTCCCCCTGTTGGGAAAGTGCTGTATAAATGCAGTTTGTTATTGTTAATTCACTTTACAGTATATTCTGTGAAACACTTTCACAGACTGGGAGCTCAAAGTCTCAACGAGAACTATTAACCTGTCCCCTCCCTCTGTCTTGAAGACGTAATAAGGCGCTATATCAAATGCAAGGATTATTAGTGTTGTTGTTGAAGAACCCTCTGACTCAGAGTGATAGTGACAGACTGATTAAGCTCTTGAATGCGATGGAGTTCTGAATACTAAGTACACCTCCCCAATATAATAATAATCCTTGCATTTGATATAGCGCTTTATCATGGTTTTGAGACATTTCAAAGCGCTTCACAGGATACACTGTGAAGCAAAACTCCCACAAAATATACAGTCAATTCACTTTACACTATATTCTATATTCTTTCTCAATATAATATGAGAATCATGTTTAGGAGTGTAAATCCAGGTGGCTGGTATATCATGTCACTCAGCAGTTATCACACTAGATGGCAGTCCAGCACATCTTACAGGAGCCAGAGTTAACCTCACTCTCCAGAGGCTGACATTCCACCTGACATCTGACAATTCTGAATAATCTTAAAAAGTCTCTCTCACTCTTCCACCGTTTACAACATAAGATCAAATTCACGATTTCAATGAACTGCGTGTTTACAAAGAAATAATCTGTTGCAAGTTATTAATCCCTCCTAAACAGCACCAGGCTCCCTGTCACCGTACCGTCTTGTAGCTCCCTGTCCAGTGGGGGAACATCATCTGTCAGTGAGAAGTCCATGTTCGCTCCTGCGATCTCCACCATGTCCTCATCACTTGTGTTGCTCTGGTAACTGTTGAAACTTGCCCTTCGGTAATACTGATCTTTGGCCATTTTTGACCACTCGAAACCTGCAAGAGAAAAGCAAAGAGATCCTGGTCAGGTACCACTGCAGCAACAGCCAGGAGACAGCTCTCGTACAACAACAACAAAAAATTAGATTCTTGACGTCTTTCACATCAGGAGGATATCCCAAGGCGTTGGGAAAGCTCCACAGAAGTTTGCAATGAGGAGGGAGAATCTCCAATGAACAATTCCCAGCACAGGTCCCGTAGTTTAGCGGTCAGCGCGCTCGTCTCGAAAGCGAGAGGACCTGGGTTTGATTCCCGGGCAGGGTGAAACCTTAGGCAAGTTTCCTTACTTCACACACATGCCTCTGTTTCCCTAACAGTAAGTTGGAACCCGGGTGTTAATCGATTGGCAGATCTCATTTCCGGGTGTAATAATCCCTTCAAAAATAAATACGTAATAATAATGGGTCACTCAATCCACGACTGTTTGCGGGACGCTGCTGTGCGCAATTGGCTGCCGCGTTTCGCCCACAAATACGCAGTCAATTCACTTTACAGTTCTGTAAAGGCTTTGAGACATCTCGAAGATATGCTTTCAAAACCCCCCTAAAAAAAATACTTCTTCGTGTTTGCTCAGCTCCCTCCCTCCCTCTATCTATCTATCTCCCACTCTGTCTCCATGACATGTTTGAGATATACAGGAAAGGCAGTATGTTTTCTGGTCCAGCATGTAACGACGTTCGTCTGATATTATTCACCAAGTCAGAATTCGCCAAACGTTTTGCCCGGTAATCAAACGCAGGTCCTCTGGCTTGCGAGGCGAGCGTGCTAACCAATATGATAAGGCATATGTAAGTATTCCAGGTGGGTTATGCCATTGCCTTTTGCTCTAACCGTAAACTCAACAAGTTAAAATCATGTTCGCTCATTTATCAGTGCTGATGATTTCTGGATTTCCCAAATAATCCAGGAGAGATTTGTAGGCCTTGGAGCTGTGAAAAATCTGTAATAATAATCCTTGCATTTGATACAGTGCATTATCACGTAGTCGAGATGTCTCAAAGTATTTCACAGGATATACTGTAAAGTGGAATGACTATGTATTTTGTGGGTGAAACACGGCAGCCAGTTCTCGCACAGCAACCACCCACAAACAGCCATGAGTGAGTGGCCAATTTTATCTGGGGGATTGTTAGACAGGACACTGGGATCTCTTAGTGTCCACCTGAACAGGCAGATGGGACCTCGGTTTAATGTCCCATCCAAAGGATGGCACCATTCCAAAGCAGCACACCCCAGCACTGCATCAACTAAATTATATTTGTATAACGCTTTTCACGTCGGGAAGGTGCCCAAGATACTGGACAATTAGTGTTTCGGACCCAAGCTGGGGATCAGGATCGGGGAGGGTGGAGGACTGGGGGTGACGCAGGGTGACCGATGGCACGGTTGAAGAGGAGGATCTTGAGATGGGTCTTGAAGGAGGCAAGGGAGGGGGCGAGGTGGAGGGACTGCGGGATGGAGATCCAGAGTGTGGGGGCAGTGACTGAAGGCAGTGACCTGCCAATGGTGGGGCGGGCAAGGCGGGGGACGTGAAGCAGGCCGGAGCCCGCTGAGCGGAGGGAGTGAGCAGGTTGGTAGGGGGTTAGAAGGTCACAGAGGTAGGGGGGAGCAAGGCTATCGCGGGCTCTGAAAGTGTCAGCATTAAGCGATTGCAAGTCACATTAAGAGTTTTGAACCAACAACCTTCTGCCTCAGAGGCGACAGTGCTACCAAATCAGCCAGGTGGACACACACTGTACATTCCTCTGGAGATCCACTGAAATGTACACAGGTGCGGCTTTCTGCGTAGCCTCCCATTAGTTCACATCCTGCTCTGCCAAAGTGCGAAAAACACTCGAGATGAGAACAGATGGCCATAATTAAAGGCCAGTCACTGTTACTGTGGTGTATGTGGGCTGAGTGGTGGCCACCCGATGGCTCAGCGCATCAGTGCTCGCACTTCAACATAATCCATAAGAAATCCCCATCCTCACAGTTACACAGAGCGACACAGCACTGAAACAGGCAGCAGCACAGGCTGTTCACCAATTTCATGCTAACACACACCACAAATGATGGATGGCATTTCCCTGCTGGTAAACTCTAAGCTTCACACTCGATGGGGTCATTGGCAGAACATCAAGCTCCCAAAACCAAGAACATCCACTGATAAACAGACGTGCTGAGCGAAGGGAAGCTTTGTTTCCCGTGAATAAATTCCAAAGCTGTTAGCATTTCAATGTTCCTCGCAGGAAAAACAGGAAGGTCCAATATTTCTTAGTCTCGAGAGTACAGTGTATTTAGGTTGAACCGTGGAACATGGCTATGTTTGTCTGCACCTTAAGGGCTGAGGAAGATAAAACCCTCACAGATGTCTAGTTATTCTGCAAACACAATGCCTGGTAAAGGTCTTCACCTGTCTGTATCACCTGTCTATTATACTCCCTTGGTTCTATCTTTGCATTGTAGTTAGCCCATTCGCCTCGCAAGCGAGAGGACGTTTGTTCGATTCCCGAGCAGGGCGAAGGGTTAGACAAATTTTCTTATTCCACACGCCTCTGTTTACCGAGCAGTAAGTAGGAACCCAGTTGTTAGTCGATTGGTGGATTGCTTTCCGGGGGTAATAATCCCTCCCCCCAAAAATGTGGTCACTCAAACCATGACTGTTTGTGGGACTCCACTGTGCATAATCAGCTGCCATGTTTCACCCACAAAATACAGTGAATTCACCTTACAGTATCTTCTGAGAAGTGTTTTGAGACGTCTCAACAATGTGATAAGGGGCTGTATCAAATGCAAGGATTATAGTTATTATTATTAGCTTTTAACTAACTATTATAAGCTAGCCAAGTGCCACTGAGGACAAGTGTACCCTGCCCGCTGTCCTGCCTGATATAACAAAATGATAATCCTTGCATTTGATATAGCGCCTTATTAACTAACAGCATAGGCCACAACAGGAATGTGTGACGAGGTGATACGACAACACACTCACCAGGCCAGCAGGAGGGCTGGAAACTCGGATTTACAGATGATCCAGCTTACAAACACTTACCTGCTCAGGTCCCACCTACACGTGGAAATCCCAGAGACAGATTGTTGGAATGGAACGTACACCCTCTGCTTACCTAATTCCGTAAAGTTTTAGGCGCAGGTTGGCAAGAGCTTGGGGGACCCCAGAGAGTGCGTTGGGGTAACTGTTGGGAGTCTAACCAGCTAAAACCGCATAGCTTGCCATTGATGTTGCTGTATGGCAAGCTTTCCCACTGCGTGTCCAGCTAGGGCCACCTTATCTGTTAGGGCTTTGGCTTGCAGGGTTAATAGGAACTGGGAGGATTCCCTGCCCCCAGTTACTGGTCTGCTCTTCCAGGTCCTGCCGATGAGACATGCTGTGCTGTGATCAGCAGCTGGCACTGGTTCCAGGATTCAGCTCGCTGCTGCTCTCCTGTGGGACCCATGGTTCGCAGAGTCGCTGGATAGAAACTGAAATATTTCAATTCAAGTTCTCACCCTCTGGCAGGGTAATTCGGGAACTGGTGGTTGGCTGATGTAATGTATTAGCAAAGGGAGAGGTCAGGGGAGCAATTATTGCACACAGAAGGTTCAAGATGTAAAATATCTTAATGACGGTTGTAACAAAATCCATATTAGCTTTAAAGAGGGAATTAGATAAATATTTGAAACTGAGAAATATAATACCTTGTGGTTAAAAGACAGGAGTATGGGACAAAAGTAGCTTGAGGCTTGATGAGTTAAATGACTTCCTTTCATGTTATAAACCCCTATTAACAGATTAAGTGGTTGAATAATAATAATAACCCTTGCATTTGATAGAGCGCTTTTCACGTCGGGAGGACGTCCCAAAGCGCTTCTTTCCTTTCCACCCATTCTCTTTTCGAACCCCTTCAGTCAGGTTTCCGTGCTGCCCATAGCACAGAAACTGCCCTGGTCAAGGTCACCAATGATATCCTGACCATCTGTGACCAGGGCTCCCTCTGTCTCCTCGTCCTCCTCGACCTATCGGCAGCATTCGATACGGTCGACCACGCTATCCTACTCCACCGCTTGTCCTCCCACCTCAACCTTCAAGGCACTGTCCTTGAATGGTTTAGGTCGTACCTTTCTCACCGTCTTCACTTTGTCTCGACGAATGGCTTCTCCTCCACCCCCCGTACTGTCTCATGTGGTGTCCCTCAGGGCTCTGTCCTCGGTCCCCTCCTCTTCACCCTCTATATGCTCCCCCTTGGTGACATCATCCGCAGACATGGGGTTAACTTCCACATGTATGCGGATGACACCCAACTCTACCTTTCCTCCTCTACTCTCAACTCCACGACCACCGATGTCCTGACAGCTGCCTGTCCGACATCGAGTCCTGGACGAGAGACAACTTTCTTCAGCTCAACGTGCGAAAAACCGAGGCCCTCCTGATTGGCTCACGTCAGCGCCTCCGCACCTCAGGCGCTGACACCATCAGCATCCAAGGCTGCACTCTCCACCTCTCAAAGCCAGTCAGGAACCTCGCGTTTTGTTCGACCCTGAGCTGTCCTTTCTCCCTCACATCCGCACCACAACTGGCACCGCCTTCCATCACCTCCGGAACATCGCCAGACTACGGCACTACCTCACCCCTCACGCTGCTGAAACCCTGGTCCACGCCTTTGTCACCTCAAGGCTGGACTATGGGAACTCTCTCCTCGCCGGCCTTCCCGCCCTCCCTCCACAAGCTGCAGGTCATTCAGAACTCTGCAGCTCGTGTACTGTCCCGCACCAGACACCGCGACCACATCACTCCCACCCTCGCTCGCCTCCACTGGCTCCCCATCCCCCAGAGGATTGATTTCAAGATCCTCATCCTCACCTACAAGGCCATTCACGGCCTTGCTCCCTCCTACCTCTCCAACCTACTATCCCCCTACCTACCTGCCCGTACCCTCCGTTCCTCTGGCTCCGGTCTGCTCCACGTCCCCCGCCCCAACCGCCCTACCATCGGTGGTCGGGCCTTCAGCCTCTCAGCC